ATATATACATATATACATACATATATACACATATACATACATATATATACATATATATAGATACACATATATATAGATACACATATACATATAAACATGTTCATATATATATATACACACATACACACGTATGTATACGCACATTAGGGTCGTTAAAACCAATTAAGATGGGGGAGATCCATCAGATTCAAATTTGTAATGCATTTAACATTTTGGCAAAATGACTTGCATTGTTTTTTTGTTCCTTTTTTTAAAAAAAATACTTTCCACCCACTTATCATTGCTGCATTACAACGTTGACACGCACTATTTGCACAGCACACTGCAGAAAACAATTTCACGCAGGTACTTTGAGCTCACGCCCAGCATTTGTTTGTGGAGGGTTCAACTTCAGGTCAGATGGACAGCCTTATCTAGCGCAGGGCAGTAAGCTGACTAGCAGAATTACCCTAATGGACTGTGATGAAAGGTATTAAGTAATACTTCAATGATACCGCAATTGTTTCTTGACATCTTTCCACATTAATAATCGCATCATTTGGATAAAAAAAATGCCACAAATAACAGCTGTTCAACAACACTGATCTACCTGCTGTTATTTGTCTTCTGTTCCAGCATTATACTAGAATATATTTTGGACATATTTAGTTATTTCAATTTAACTTGATCAGTTTACTGATCACCCTGCGATTAAATATTGTGTCAATCACAATATTTAATGTCTATGCATATACACATATATATATATACGCATATCATACACACATATGTATATATTTATATACATTTATACACATATATTAATATATGTACAGTATGTGTGTCAAACATGTAAACATTCAACATTTTTTAAAGTCACACCATAAGACACCAAGCAAGAACAATTCAACACATACGGGAAAAAAAAAAAAAATCTTCATTGTTGGTGTCAAATTAAAACAATTTAAGTCATAGTCAAGTCTTATTATTATTTCTGAACTCATGAAATATTTTGAATATTGAGATCTTTCATTTCTAAAGACGTGTAATCTTTTTCTACCTTCATGTTTGCTTCAGTAGTACATTTGAATAAATTGTATTTGTGTGAGACATCTGAGAAGTTGGGAACTGAGCCCCTTTTGTGTTGCTCCTTTTTAAATTTGTCTACCTGCTCTTTACATTTTAAATAAGTATTTCAATCCATAATAAATGGAAAAAAAAAAGTCGTATTTATCTTCAGTTAAAGATACATTGTATCATAGCTTTTTTGTTTTTTTTTTTTTTAATTATTGATTTTCTAATAACTCACTTCTGATTGGGGGGGACCTCCCTTTCCCCTCAGTCTTCACAAGAGGAGGGACATTTACCTCCTCGGTCAGTGCTGGCCGCAGTGACGTGATTAACGATTGGCGGGAAAAAAAAAAAAATCTTTCACACCCAAAGTGAACACCAATTAAAGCAGCAACACAGATTAAAAGTGTCATCGACGAAAGTCACATTGGCAAATTCGACAAGTTTAAGGAAATTATGAAATGCCCCTAGTTCCAGCTAAGTGAGAGGAAGATGAGTTTTTAAGTAGGACTGGTTCGATCCCATACAAAAAAAAACAACAACTACCGTCTCTTCCAATACCTAAGCCCAAATGCCATAATCGGGGACACTATTGCCTCAGCAATGGCAGCCCGCGACACGCCGGCATGAAAGTTTTATCGAACCATCCCTACGTTTTAGTAAAGGAAACAGCAAAGTCGATCGCAGAGGCCATACGAGTACAGCATGGCTTTTATACAGATGATGAAGAAGAAGAAAAGGCACCAAAAAGCAGCAACAGGAAACGCACCTTTCCCTGCGTGCGTGTGTGCTTGTGGTTCCATGTACATATACACAAAGACTGTTTTGCACTGAGCCTGGACTGATGAATAACTCTGATGGGGTTTTTTTTTTTTCTTTCTGTCCATTAACATCCGTCACGGTATTTTCTGTCGACGTTAGCATCAACATGATGTCACCGAAAAAAGTAGACCTTGCCTCCTCCTGATCACATGATTCAGAACGTAAGGAAGTCGGAGCAGCGGGGGGACAACAGCGGGCTTCGAGTGTATTGTGAAAGTGCAAGCGTCGGTAATTGACGTGTTAGTGTACTAAAAATCAATGGCTCGAATCATCAGTAATCGGAGATAATCATTAAAGTGTCGAATGATCAGTGTAAGGCTCGGTCTCCACTCAATCAGTCAAATGTTTAATTTAAGGCATTAGCGGCAAAAACACACAAACAGACGACGACAACAGAAATGGAAAATAGGGAGTAGACGGGGGAGAAAACTCAGATGTTCAGGGTGCGGCTCCTTGTTCATGCTCAGCCTCCTCCTTCTGTAACAATGTGATTGGGGGGGGGGGCGACAGAAAGGAGTCATCGCACTTCCTGAGCTCTGAGGAGGAGGAGGAAAAGGAGAGAGGAGATACAAGTGTGTTAGAAGCAGGACGAAGAGGAGGAAGACTGCGATATAGGAAAGAGGAGACCAGTCTTCTTTTTTCCCCCCCAACTCTTGCACACTAGTTGTAGTTGAGGGAGTAGAAACAAACAAACAAAAAAAAAATGAAAACAAAGTTCTTCATCAATTGTCAGGTTTGTGCAGCAGGAGAGGGTGAAGTGAAATGTCGGAGTCTGGAGAATTAATAAGTAGACTCACAGGGTTCACTCAGAGATGTTTGTTTTTTTTTTAGTTAAACGGGAAACACAGAAAAGGGTGGAGTCGGGAGGTTAGCAAGAAACGGACGGGATACGAAGCCAATTTCGAGCAGTGTCACAGTGAGAGGTGGAAGACGGTATGTTACGTGGAAGAGTCGGGATGTTTCGTGGGAGCGGGGTGGACGTAAAAAAAGGAAAATACACTCGTGAGACTGTAGGCAAGCGAGAAGCTTTTTCCAAAAAGTTATAGAGCACATGCAGTAGCAGATCCCCAGGACTTAAACCTCTGACCCAGTAGAGAACAAAAGTGAAGCGAGCACCAGGATATGCCTAAATGAACAGGAGATAGGGCAACATAGGGAGGGAGAAATAGTGAGAGAGAGAGTGAGAGAGAGAGGGTCACTTCACCAGCACTGACTTTGGCAAAAAGGCCTCCAGCACGTCGCCTTCTTTTGTCCTGATGGAAGATGAGGAGGTGGTGCTTACGGTCGAGTGGCCACTGCTGGACGGTTTGGGCAGACTGTACATGTAGACCGCGCCGATGACAAGCCCTGCCCCGACTGTGAAGAGGAAGTCCACGTGAAAGCCGAACAGGTAAATGGACAGCACCGTGGAGACAATGATGGAGAAGGAGGTGGCAAAGCCCTTCAGGATGTTGTCGGCGTATTTGACCACCACGGCCACCAGGAGACCGCCGAACGCCTGGTTGAAGATGACGCACCAAACCATGTTGGTGTAGCCAAAGAAGAAGCCTTGCTGGGCCACAGCAGTGCCATCGTTCCACCACAATCCCAGCATGCCCAGCGCTGTGCCGAAGATTCCCAGCTGCACGTTCCTCACCCACACGGAGGCCGAGCTTCCCTTCAGGATTTTCTCAAAGTAAACGCCCGCAAAGCCTGATGACAGACAGCTAATCACCACAGCAACCAGACCCACAAAGTAGTTCTGGTTGGTGGAGTTTACAACCGATGCTTCTTTGTTTCCTTCTTGCTGCACCTACAGAAGAAGAGTAGCAGCCAATCAGACGAACTGAACAACATATACATAAGTTAGACAACAATGACCCGCACCATCTTCTAGAAAAGTCTTTTCCCCTTTGACAAAAGAAAAAAAAAATGCAACAACCTTCCTTATAAAGGCAGTATGTTTTATCACACTCAGAACGGCCACATCACACTAATAACGGATAAATAAAGGCAGTATGTTTTATCACACTCAAAACGGATACGCATTTATTGCATTTATTTATTAATGAAAATGTCAGCTGAAATGTTTATTTACACGTCTTTATCGTGTAGAAAAAAAAAACTCCATCAACCGCCATCACATTTTTCTTTTTAATCTCGCGCACCCTCTAGTGGCAACTTTGGGAATCCCTGATCGAGAACATTGACTACAAACCATAGTGTTTTATAAGAACTGTAATGTGAAAAATAACCCAATCGTCTTTATCGTGTAGGAAAACGTATTTTCTGCAAAAAAAAAAAAAGTTAGTTTTGTCTGTGCAATAGTGTCAGGCAAAAGAATTAGACATTGTTAAAAGACTCAGAGAAGTTGAATATTTTCATGTGTCTTTCTTCAATTCATGTGAGAATACCAGCGTTATGTTGATCCAAATAGGCCTAGATTTAAATGTGAGTTAAGTAAATTGTGAGTAAATTGATTACTGGATTATATTTGACAAGAAACTGCTCCAGATCGCAGCCCAGATGTGCCTTAAACTCAGTTAGCAAAAAAAAAAAGAGCTTATGCATAGAATTTTAAGACGATTCAACTGTGATTACATTTAAACATTGGTTGTAAAATGTAATTACACAGAAGAGCCACTAGATAGAAGAATTTCTGTGACTTCTGGTTTCTCGTTAAAGTGAATTTCACTCATTATGACATCACAGAAGTGTGTGTAGTATTTCACTGACAAAAACAGGATGCATTCCAATTTAAATAGTAAAATATATTTGTTTAACTTAATGTCAAGCATTTTAGACACTAGATACTACTCGACTCAAAAGTCTACTCTAAAAGTAGTGCAATGATGCCTGAGCGGGAAGAAGAAAAAAAAACCCAAAAACAATTTATTACTAAACAACTATTTGAAAGAAGAGCTACTTTAAAAACACGTGTCTATGACTGGACTACGAGATCAGAAGGAGATCATATGATAAAGTGTGTTTTGGTCAGGTGGCTTACCTGAACTATGGCAACTCCAACGAAGAGCAGCAGTAGAGAAATCCACTGCACCCTGGACAGAGACTTCTTGAGCATCAGGACACTGAATAGAGCTGTGGTGAGGATCTTCAACTGGTAGGTCACCTGATCAATACCGGCACCAACACCAACACCAACACCTTACATCATACATGAGTTTGTTTTGTTTTGTTTTTTTTCTTATTATTATTAATATTTAACATCTGTTAATTAAATGGCCAGAACTCATGCTTTTTAACACAGCTGAGTGCACCTAATTAAATGGCCAGAACTCATGCTTTTGAGTGCACTGCTATCACGCTATTAATCAGGCTTTTCCAAGAGAAATCGGAAAGTTATAATCCGTCTCTCTCCCACGTTAAAAGTCCATGGATAAAATAAATGGTGTTACTTCACAGGGACACACAAGAACTGCAAGTAGCTCTCAACAAAATGGCTGCATCTTTGTGAGCCAAGATGGCCGATTCTCTCTTATGGTCTCTGGCATGGTAGAGTGAGCGGTTTACAAACTACATACAAATCTCATGTTGCAAAACGTCTAGTTAGACGTAGATGCTGTTAACCAATTCCCTAGAATTATGAACTATCCCGTCAATGTGTTTGGGTTTGGACATTTGAACTGTCACTAAGAACAAGAAAGGCAGACCTGGAAGGTGGCAGCAGGCAGGTTGGAGATGGCGATATACTGCAGGTTGTTCTGCAGCGTGTAGATGAGTGATGGCACAGCCATTTTTAGAGTGTCTTTGTACTGAATGATCACTGCATCTACCAGGAAGGACACAGTCTCTTTTATACTAACTGGAGACACAAAGAGAGCGTGGGACAGAGAAAAGGGATGGGGAGGGAAAAAGCGGGGGTGACACAAACATACAAACAATTAAGGGACAGACAACTCAGTGATGATACCCTTCTAAATGTGTCCACAGCTTCGCCCCATTTGCCTGTTGAACTCACATCTCCTTTCTGATAGGGTGATGAGTAGACATGTCAGGACCTTCAGAACCTCTGCCATCACCACAGCCGACGTGGCAAAAAAACGATCACCGGGTAGCGTTCGGACATATCTGATGCTGAGGATGAGAGAGGCATTCTGGACCACCAGCACTGCTAGACTGATGTACTTCAACCTGCTGTGTACTGCAGTAAAAAAAAAAAAAATAATAATTTTAATGAACCCAAAAAAAAAAAAAAATAATAATAATTTTAATGAACCCCATCAGATCCAATAAAAAACAATTGGCGGATCATGTGATACTTTTACCGTCGCAAAAATGGAATGCAGACAATGTAGATAAATTGACATTGAGATCATCAGGTGCACTGTATAAAACTATCCTATTTCACATAGTTGGTCTGAAAACTGAAAATTTATTTACTGCAAATAAGGATAACAAGCTATTTCAGCGGTGGTGACTGACGCCTCACTGCTGTTGTCTCGCGTTACAACCCTAGAGTAAACAGTTCTATTGGTCAAGTTACAAAACGTTACTACTCCACATGTAAACAAATAAAGCAATCAAACAAAAAATTAAAGGGTGAGATCTTTAAACAACTATATCTGATGTTTACAAAAGAACAGGAGGGTGTGACCAATAGAGTTGCGACAAATATTCTGAATAAGTACAGTCATATCTCTACAGTGTTTACTCAGGTCTTTCAATCCACTCACGTTCAATATCTCTACAGTGTTTACTCAGGTCTTCCAATCCACTCACTTCACGGATTTTCAAGATCGAATTAGGACCGTGTTAGGACAACGTTATGTCTAAATTTTGTTCGTTTTTGAAGAACTGGAAAAAAGCTGGAATTTGTTCTGTGGGTCAATAGGCCGTTCCTTGAAAGGGATCTGGGTTGGGTTTTTTTTTTTTTTTTGCGAGTTAAGTGAAATATTTTTGTTCGTGGTTTGTAGCACTATTACGTGTACAGAAACGATTAAACCAGTTTAAAAAGCTGTACTAAATGCATGACTTGATACAGGATAAGCAACATACTTGAAACTGGTTTATCTACTTTAAAAAAAAAAAAACAATGAAACTAGCCAACACCTAAAGACAAACCCTTTTTTTCTACTTTAAAGATAAACAAACACCTGACAGACATCAGGGTCAAGACACACATACTGTAATATTTCTCTATTTCTTTATTAAGAAAACAGAAAAACAGAACAGAGAATTTAATGCAGGATCTGACACGTGACGCCCATACAAGCAGGTTAAACATCAAGTCAAATCATATTTCCACTATCACACTACAAATAAACTGCTAAATTCAAAGAATACGTTTGAAGCGATATTCTCCGGTTTTCAATGTCAGTAAGCCAAGACTAACAGGCACCAGCAGACTGCGGACAGACGGCAACAACGGTCACAAAAGTGAGACAGGGTTCAGTGAGAGCAGGCGTGAAAAACTGTTGGGCTGGAATGACAGCTGACGGCTAAAGAGTTACCTGGAAGTTTAGTTTGTGTTAAGTTGGAAAATCTTGAATAGAATTGTTTTGGGCTGACCTCAGAGAAGTACTGAGTAATTATTTTTGGAAAGGTGCTAACTACTGACAATGCAATTAATAGTGAAACGGCAGAACAGTTCATTTTAATAATAAATATGAATTATTTTTGGAAAGGTGCTAACTACTAATAGTGAAACGGCAGAACAATTCATTTTAATAATAAATATTAAACAATAATAATACATTTTATTTCATAGGCGCCTTTCTGCCACCCAAGGACACCTTACAATGAATACAAAGATAACACCACAGCATTAAAAAAGAAATATAACTGTATTTTTTGTATCTTCTGTTTGGTACTCCCATGGTATTGATTTATTATTTTTGTATTTAGATGTTACTTTGAAATGTTCCCGGTAAATGTGATGCGCAGAATAAAGTTTGCATTTAAATGAAGTTGCATATGTTTTCAGTGCTATAGACACATGTCATCTCTACCAGATTTAATATTTGGATATAATAAGTTTTATTTTTTTTAAGAAACTTGAACAAACTGGCATCTCGTTAGTGCACAATATAGCTGATGTATTTATACTGATACTACTATTGATACTACTATTGATATACTGAGAAGATAATTCAGAACATGGCTAACGAAATGCCATCAGTTGACATTGAAGTCACTAGCTTTAAAGCATTTGAGAACCTAACACTATAACTAACTAACATTACTGTCCTGACGTCGTTGGACTAGCGAGTAATGACCTTGTAAGACGATTTAGAGACAAACATTATATTTATTTTATAAGTTGCTGCACTGAGGTCGCAGCCAGTTGGACAATTCTGGCTGTTTTGGATCAAATGCACCAAACAGGATCCATCCACTGCTCTACTTCAAATGAGCGTTCGTTCTGTAAAAAAAATATTACTCTAAAAAAACTGGTAAGCGTCGGGTTAACTTCCAATATTGTAGTTTTTAGTGTTAGTTGAACGACATTGTCTAATAGGTTCTTGATTATAATTTAACGTCCGTTAATTAGTTCAAGTCTTTCTCACCAATACTAGGTTCTGAGATGTCACAGTTTAACCTTCAGCTGTTCCGGACTGCGGTTCCGGACGACGGTTCTTACCTTCGTTCTGAATACGGATCGCTGGTTTTTCTTCCAGAGCCTGGCTGTGGTTCCCACCGCCCATACCGACCGCAGCGAGCCTCCGCCCCGCCGCCGCTCTTGTTACCCTCCGCTAGCTTTATTGCTAGATTCTAGCAGAGAGTCCAAAACAGCCTGCGCAGCGGGGTAAACTTAACTGTTTCTAACCCAGGTTAAAGTGGAAGTGCGACTTAGCTATCTTAACAGGGTTACGGTTAAACAACACTGCGAGAGAAACGACGTAAAACACCTGCGTGAAACTGTACGTATACAGAAGCTGAGTTGTCCAGCAAATAAGAGAAGAGCGTAACGACAGGAGGTATCACTCTGACTGATGTAATAGAAAGCGAGGGGGTCAAATACGAAAACTGCATTTGATACAAGGAATGTCGTTCTTCAAGTTTTAAGGCGGTTAAGCCAAGGCGGGGAGACTGCTTTTGCGTGCTCAGCGACCGATTGAATTTCCCTCATGTGATTCTCATCCCATTTAGCTTTTATTTATTTTATTAATGGTACAGAAAAAAGAATGATGCTTTTTTGACTTCATCCTTAATGGTAATTTCAGTTGAGCTTTTGATTACAAAAACACACGTTGGATACATTTAGTCTTCATCGGGTTTTAACACGTTGTCAATTCCACGACACTAGCGTGACAAATATTTCTTGTAAGTGGTTACGCTGAATAAACATAGTGGTACATCTGTTTTCGTCCACTATCTTCGATTCCGCCAGCGAACAATGACTTCCTTGGTCTAAGTAAAGTGTTTTGATTGGCTGCTGACTGCACACGTCGCCTGTATGTTCCTGTTGAACCGGAACTGTAGGTATGTACTTAAGGGGGGGGTGCTGCCAAATCTATTGACTTGCTTAACGTCATAGATATTCGCTATTATGTTAATTCTAATTTCTTGTACACTTGATGAACTTTATCATCATTTATGGAACGTTTTTTCATTCACAAAAACAAATGCTTATTACCCATTGTCTGAGTGAAACGAACTCCCTGATTAAATCTCTCACTTTGATAAACAATGATAAAAGAAAAATGTTACTAACTATGGAAGGTTTCCCACAATACTTCTGACTAATCATCGTTTTGTGTTTGTTGTTCTTGTAACTAATTTTTTACTTTTCTTCACAGCTTATTTTACCCTTTCTTCCCTTTCTACCCTTTTTAGATACATTTTATTGAGTTTTATTGTTTATAAATATTATGATGGACAGATAACACAAAAAGGATGTCTTTACAGAGGCCATTCGCTTTTGCGAGTGCAAGTCAAACCTCAAGTCTCTAAATAATAAAAATCTCATGTCTCTTCTGGTTGATTATCTATTAAGTGGCTGGTTCAATTGAGATACTGTTTAATTACACTGAATCTCTAATGATATTTTTAAGTCTGCCTTAAATTTAAAAGTTGAATGGAATGGGGTCTAGAGAACATGTAGCAGGACAACTACATGTAAGATTTTGGATACTTCGATTTAAAAAAAAAATTAATTAAGAGTTCTGTGTAAATATCCCATATTACAACAGCTGCGGCTTATAGAGAAGTGCGGCCTATATATGCACAATTCTTTTTTTATTTTATTTAGTGGGTGCGGCTTATGGCAGGCTATAAATAAATATTTAAAAAAAAATTTAAGTGAAAGCCTAGTATTTATAAACATATATTATTAATTTTGCATGCAGTTCTAAAATTTATTTTGAAGAGGATCAAAAAGTCGAAACAAACTTTGGTACCAATACTAACACCAAAATGTTGCTATCGTAACAATACTAATGTCCAGTTGCCTAACAGAACTCTTCAACCATGTGCATGGTGCTGCTGCCACTGGCACAATTTCCTGTGACACCACCCCAGAGGTAACCATCACTGAAATCATTCTTCAGGCTAAAATCGATAATCCGAACATTATGTATGTGTTTTCCGCAAGTGCATTTTTAGGTTGTTGTGAAGTTTTTTTTCGATATGTCTTTGGGAAAGTCAAAGAAACTGGAAGCTGGAAGACTGGAAAAAGGTCTCAGAGCCATCTTAGCTCATGTCTCTGATCTTTCGCCTCATGGTCAAACAAGGGGTAATAAACAAACAGGGAACACCTTACAGGTGGTTATAAATGTTTACACCCAACGAGGATTCGTGATCAGGACATCTTATCACTTCAGCATACACATAAGTCAATCAATCTACACGCATGTCAAATTTCCACCACAACATAATCCATCTTATAAGGAAGTGACCTACTTTGGTGAATATCTTTCACAGGAAGACACATCTACACCACTCCCCCTCAGCTCACAGTCTCTACATCTGGCTAAAGGAGAGAAGAAAAAAAAACCCTAAGGGTTTAACCAAATGTTGAATGTCGAACTAAAAAGTACCATACAAAGCAACAACAATTAATAACTAAGGTAAAGGCGTACAAGAGTAGCCTGAAGCTGGACAATGCGAAAAAAGGATCTGGAATTTGTTTTGGCCTTCTTGTCCTCGGAATCTTGTTGAGCGGTCACTGCCGCCACCTTTTAAAGATTGTCACTTGAGATTCACCATTCACCACTACTTGTAAATATTGCACTTAATCACTGAGACTGGACCTGCGTGCTTCTGGAATCCATCCCTCACATCCCCTACCTGGAAGAACTGTACAGTACTGAATAATGAACGGACTCCTTGATGATGAAATGAGCGTACGGCATGATAATCATGAGTGAATCCACGAGGGTCAAAAGGACTAGAACCTCAGGATTTGGATCCGGCTATTCCTACGAGTGACTCAGAGATGGAAGAAGCTACGACTGAGGAATCTATAATGGCTGATTAGAAGGAACCCTCAGGAAAATACGACTTGAGGAGAGGACAGCTGCAGCTGAAAGATACTGAGACAAAAAAGGATAAGGGAAACAACTGAGCGACAAGAGATAAGACAACCACAGAAACTAACGGGGGACATGAATTGCTAGGTGTGTAGCAGTTAGCACCAATGCGGCCTCTTAGGGTTGATGACAAGAAAGACGTTTTTATTTTCTTTTAAAAGATAAAAGAGCACTTTTTATAAGTGGCTTATGTCATGAAGGCACGGGCCATTTTGTCAAATTCCCCTCGTTGCCGGTTGTAAATGGAAGACTGTACAGATGTAACTACAGTATTTTCCCTACTGTAAATCACACGTACGACTTATTTTGCGACTTTTACTCACGTGTGAATTTCACTCACACGTACGACTTATTTTGCGACTTTTACTCACGTGAGAATTTCAGTGAGTTTGTTACCTTCACACTGACAGCCGCTAGAGGGCACTCGAGGCTTGTGTACCAGTATCTGCTACTCCTGTACCACTGAACATGTACATGTTTGTTATTTTCACACCGACAGCCACTAGAGGGCACTGGTGCGACTTATATTCCAGAGCAGCTTATATAGGTGTAGTTTTTTCTTCATTATGCATTTTTGACTTGTGCAAATTATACTCCGGGGTGATATATAACCCAGAAAATATGGTACTCTGGCTAACAGTGAAACAATAAAAAAAAGAAAACAATCTTCTTTCTTCCACCACAGGATTCAATTGTTGATTTTTCTCTATGGTGTTCACAGACTGTATGCAAAAGGAACCATCCAAATTAATCGTTGTTTTCCCCAAAACTGTTGCAAACCCCTCAGTACCCCACAATTGATTCCAGCATATTTGGTGAAACCCATGCACTGGATTATCGGGTTTTCATTATCAGAATTGAAACCGATATCAATTTTTACAGATATCACATAACTGTGCTATAATATCGGTACCGATAATATCAGTCGGCCGATATTATCAGACATCCCTATTTTTTTTATTACAGCTAATCATTAACTTTACACATTGTTCCATCTTTTTAAGTTACCGATGTTTCAGTTTATTGAGTCCTTTCTACATGTTTTTCCTCCACTTCTTTGGTTTCATTTGTGTCAAGAAACACAAAAATCTTTTACACAGCGAGTTCCTTTTCGTTCTCTCTTGCAGCGCGTTGGCTTCCCGCTTCTGCTCTTTGTACAGATACTTGTAGATGTCGCACTCCTCCTGGAAACGTTGTTTTTGCTCCCTCTCCTTGGCCATCTCCTTGGTCATCTCTTTGATCGTGTTAGCCTGCTCGGCGTTGATTGACACCTGAATGTTGAGCTGGTTTCGCACCTTCTCAAAGTTGATCCAGAGACAGGAGTGCTGCTTGTCTGCGTTTTTTTGGACGAGCTTGAGCTCGTCCTCCATCTTTTGCTGAAGAGTGTCCTTCTCCGCCTGGAGCTGCTGCAGCAGCAGCTGTCCATGGGACTCTTCCTCCTCGTGACATTTAGCTTCCTGCTCTAGCTGATACTGAAGACGGTCGGCTCGCTGCCTTGCCGTGACCACGTTGGTTTCGTAAAGAGCTTGGACTCTTTCAAGCTCTTCTTGGAGATTGACGGCCTTTTGCCTCTCTATCTGGATTTCCTCCAGCGCCCTCTGTTGGAGGATATCTGACTCACACTTGGGAAACAACACCTGATCCTGTTCTGGTGACTTTGCCCTTAAAGACATGTTCATAACTAAGAATCAGTGTATGTCTTCGTCCTCGTCCTCTTCGTCCTCTTCAAAGGTAGTACTCTTGGAACAAAACTTCGCCATGAAACTTGCTATGCAGCTTCAATTTTACATGTATTGCACATACATAAAGTTTTGTTCAACCAGGGACAGTAAAATGTTGCTTTTCTGTTTCAAATCTCTACCGTGATGAAAAAATGAGTCAAATGAGTGGTGGCATACAATGAGGAAAAACCTAGCTCCCCGCGGAGCCACGCCACATTTTCATACTTTGAGGTAAAAGACATGGTTTAACAGATAGCCATAGAAACATGATGGACAGACGAAATCCTTTCATCTTCAAAGCAAGAATTGGTCTCCTACTTTGGTTTTAAAAAAACTCCCGTCTTGGCTCTACATCCCATAGTAGAGCTGTCACCTTCCTACAGGGATTTATTCTATTTCCTTCTAAAGTCTCTAAACTGTTGATATTGGGTTTTCCATTTGTGTAAGAATTGATAAAGGTAGGTGTGTGTGTTTGTGTAGCCCAATGGCTATGAGACAGACCATTAACATTTTTAATTGATTTAGAATCAGATGTTCATCACAGATCATCTGATGCACTTTACCTCTCACATACACCATACACCTGTGACAAACCCTCACATCAGTTTAGGATGTGGTTGCCCCTGCAAAGACTGTACGGTGTTACCCTAATAACAAACCATGGATAACACAGGAAGTCAAAGCTGTTCTCAACAGGAAGAAGGAGGGCTTCAGGAGAAACAACACGGAGGAGAGGAGAGCAGCATAGAGGGAGGTGAAACGCTGCCTAAAGGATGCTAAGGACATTTACATCCTTCCTTCCTTCCTTCCTTCCTTCCTTCCTTCCTTCCTTCCTTCCTTCCTTCCTTCCTTCCTTCCTTCCTTCCCTCCCTCTCTCCCTCCCTCCCTCACTCACTCCCTCCGACAGCAGTGAGAGGTGAACGAGATCCAGCTGTTTCTCAATGAGGACAAGACAGGCT